CAAGAAACAATGGACACTCTCGGAGTGGCTGAACGCCTTTCTCGAAGCCGAACTCGCTGGCTGGGACGACTACGAAGCTGACGATTACGACGACACGCATACCGCCGGCGACGACTTTTACGGAGACGGCTATCATGGCGACGAGATTGATTCGGACATTCTGGAATCACTCATCATCTTGGCCCTGAGCGGGGCTTTGGCCTTCTTGCTTTACTACAGGACACAAAGGCAAAGAAGACAGGAGGAGGAAAGAAGACGGCAACAAGAACAGCAGCAACAGTTGAATCAAGGCGTGCCTGTTCAACAACAGCAAGCGCAAGGACAACCGCCACAGGATAGGGGAATGTTCCCAAATCCAGGCGATCCTGAATTCATGAACTGGGTAGCAGGTGGCGTAGGACACTGATGCATTGTTAGAAGGTGGTGTTCAGGAAGTCGATGAGCAATGACGAGCCAGAACCAAATGAAACAACGAGAGTTCTTCCGCATACGCATCCCGTATAACTTAACTGCATAATGCTATCCCGACCTAAAATTTTGGAACGTACTCGCCTTTCATAAATTCGGAATGCTTTTCATTCGACACGATTCTTTTGGACGAACCATTGCTTGGGCTTTGCAAGCAACTTTGGGTGTCCACGTTCGGGTGTTGGTAAGTTGGAAACGTTGGTTCGCCAGGGTTCGTTCGAAGTGGTCGCCTCCACACCTAACCACAATTTGTACAGGTATGAGATGAGTTATGGGGCCTGTGAATGGCTCGTCTTAAATGACCCATCGTAGTGTCACGGTTTATCTTTGTATAAATCACCCACATCACGATACAAATCAGAGGGAAAAAGCACATTTTATTTGAGTGAATCATCGAACGCATTGCTCCGCAGCGTGGCCAGTAGAGTCAACGAAGTTTCTCACATCTGATCACTCCCTAACAAACCGGAGCTCCAGGTGTTATAAAGTCCTCCTGGGCTCACTCGCCACACCAACTCCCACCGCAGGTCGCTCAGTAACATTATCAAGATGCCAGGAATTCACATTTCAAGCGGTCTGGAAGCAGACTTTGCTCGTATAATCACCGAGGTCGATATCGGATCCAGCCTCAGAAACGTCTTTCGACGCAAGCAGAAGCAGAGATTACCATGCCCAAATACTCTCGAAGAACTTCGCAAACTTGTCGACACGGACGACTCCAAACCGGTGTGCCGCTGTGATCAGTGTGATCCACGACTTTATGGATCCTACTGCAATTGCATCCTACGTCTTCACCATCACCCAAAACTCAAGTTCAAGGGTGCCGCAAATGAATTTGGGTATCAATGCTACGAGCCCTTAACGATGGCTTCGCGTTTCCGGAGCGAAGCGATGACATTGACGAGAACGGCAGTACGGTACTTCGACCGACCCATCGACACACTCAATACCACACAACTCACCGCCTTGAAAAATATTCAAACCTGGATACAATACTACATGTCGCTGATCTTCCCCAACACACCAGCTGAGTCACCTGCCAGTCTCGACGAAGTCTTTTCCATACCCTCGATCCGCGACCTGTGGACGCAAATCAACGTCCTCTTCTTCGGCTCTGACATGTTCTACCGCAAATCCAAATTCCGTTGGCTCACTGAGTTTCACATTCAGTATCCAGACGTGATGGGCGCAGCGTGGCGCGACTATTACTACAATATCACGATAGAACCAACTCTAGACAGCTTCGATATGCTTGGCACCCTGTTACACGAAATCTGTCATTCATTCTTCCAACAATACTCCTGTCAAAGCTGCCGTAGTCGTGCAGGAAACCTCTGCTCAGACGGCCATGGACGCGCATGGCAAATTCTCTCTTCCGCTATGGAACGCAAGTTCACGGAATTTACTGGGCTGCCGATTGACCTCGGTCGGTTTGAGGCCATAAAGCACCATTGGAAAAACAGGGCTAAGTTGTCTACTTTACACGACTTTGGGGATTGGGAATTGGAGAGGCAGACCTTGATGCGGAGTTATGAATGTGATCTCAAGGCGGCGGTTGCGTCGCATGTCAGACGAGGTGCAGAGGTTGAAGACTTTCCGTTGAAGGTATATGGTGAGTATTGGTGGGTCGATACGGTGCAGGCGACAGACTTCATGAGAGAGGCCGGGCTGGGGCGCGACATGGACATTCAGGCACAGGGTAAGCTCCTGGGAGGAGAGAACTCAGCTTGATGAGATGAGGATGTATAACAAGACGCAATTGACGAAGAGGAGTTGGACGTAGAGGATTCCAAGAAGCGTGGAGTTGTGGCTAGTCATACTTGCACAGGAGGCAATACGCTCATGGATGTGTGTGACGTTGGTACAAAGGAGCACAGTCCTATACCACCTCATATGAAGGCCACTCCCGCATTGTTCCTGGTCAAATAAATTGCAACAGAGTAATATCCACGCGTCGCACGTTCTCGCGAAGCTCGTTCACGTATACAACCCCCACAAAGCCGGAGTGCCACTTATAGCTCCTGCTCATCCTGGGTCTTTTTGCTTTGAGTTGATACCAAGCCTCCGAAATCGCTCCAAGAAAGGCCATTTTTTCCAAGTGCTGCGTCATACGCGAGTTGTCGATGCGTTATTCGTTGCTTCTTGTGGGGGCTGGGTACTGGCGGCTCCATCCTGGAGGGAGTATTAGAGGCCCTGGTCTTTCGCTTGGGAGCTGAAGATGAATCGATTACTGTATGATCTGGACTCTGGACAGCCATTTGATTACGACGACTGTTTCGCGGAGGATTCTCTGATGTGGATGGAAGCGTTGATGGCTGGATGGTGTCTGTTGCGGTCGGGGTTTTTGGAGAAGCGTGATATGATGTAGGTAATGCAACGGCTTCCTCCATGACCAATTTGGTCACAGGCGGGCTCGCAGTCTCATCGCCAGTCATTTGCGTGTTCGTCGGGCTCTCTTCTCTACCTCGTTTCTGCCGGCCTTCATAGTCCACTCTGGCTTTGTACAGCTCCATCATGACTGCGTCGTGAGAAAAAAGTTCACCTGAACAGAGACTGCCAAACAGATTCCGCATGCTGAGGTCAGGTGTCCAGCGGGTCTCGTCAACAGTGCACGGAACGATATCCTTAGGGCTGAATGCTCTGACAAGGCCACAAAGCTCGGAGTAAGAAGAATGGCGACTATACGGAAACCTAATGGTCCTGTTGAGTGGCGGTCCGCTTTTCGAATCTTCCAAAACATTCGACGATAGCACAGAGACAAGGGTCTTTAGGGACAGATCGTGCTGGGTCTCCTCAAACTGCTTTTGTAGCTGCATACCAAGGTCGAGCTTGCCGTCTCCCAAGAGAGTCTGCTGGAGTAAGGTGATGACCTTTTCAAGCAACTGCTTGTCGTTTATGGATGCAGCACAGAGCTCCATCAACTTCTTGACTTCGCCCATACCGCCAGACTCCAGCTCTTCTTTTTGGTCCAAGTCACCCTTTCCACCTCCTGCACCCAACTCGGCAATGTCTTCACCGTTGGCGCGTGTGACGATCGGGATAATGTGTACGATCTTGGCGTTCGTATCGCGGTCTAGGACGGAACAGCCCATGCCGCGCTCGCAGCTGTGGATGCGGACGTCCTCCTGAGAAGTCAAACAGCCCGGTTGTATGTGATTTCCATTTCTGAAACCGCATAAAGCAGGAGCCTCACGGATCTCAATTCCAGATTCTTGGAGGGCTTTATTGCTTGCTGGGACGTCGAGCCCCACTTCTCGCAGTTGTCGCTTGTCCAATGCGGACAAGGAGCCATATATGCGTGCTCGATAGTCGTCGAGATGAATTCGAGAACCCAAAAATGCGGACAACGCTATCCAGACGTTCTCATAGCCAAAGGTCCAAGAATGGAAGTAGAATATAGTGTCGTTGGAGTAGTCACTTACTTTGCTGAGCAGCTCTTGTATACCTTGCGCTTTGCTCGGAAACTGGCGATAGGGCTTTTTCTTCGTGGCAAAGGTCGTGTCCAGATACATGCAGTCTAATTTTCGGTTTCCGAGTGTATATGGCAGAAGTACTGGGTTCTGTATCAACGAGTTCACCCACCATTCCTCTGCTCGAATGTCACCGGTATGAAGTACTGCTTTGCCATTACCCTCAATCAGGAACATGACAGCTCCAACGCAGTGGTTAGCATCGATAAGAGTGACCCTGATGCTGTTGCCCGGCGCTAACTCGATTACGGTTGGTGTGTCCAGAGGCAGCGCCTTGGCCAACTTGCGCATGCTTCTATCGTACGTGACATTGCGACTTTCGAGAATGCCTTTAGCGAAGTTGACGCGATAGTGGTACTTTTCTAGTCGCAAGAGTATCTGCAAGGGATGTCAGCTTTTGCATGGCATGTATGGCAGCAAATTTGCCGCTTACCTCTTTGGTCGCAGCCGAACAGTACACAAATGGGGCCCGCAACGACTCCAGACCAGTTAAATGATCAGAATGTACGTGACTCAAGAAACATGCAAGAGGCGCCTTATGTTCAGGTTGTTGTCGGAAGTAGTCTATCCTGATCTGAGGAAACTCTGCGACGACGCGTTAGTTAGGGCACTGAGTGCCGGGCACGCCGGGGCGACATTTACCGGCTACAATGCCTCTGAACGTTGACATGGAGATGCAATCCAATTAGTGTTGATCGTGACATTTCCAGAGATACTCTGAGATCTGGGAACTGGCCGGGGACGATTACGAGGGCGTCAAGCGCGATGATCGTGAAGGCAGCGTGAACGTGAACCACGTGCAGGTGGTGGGGAGGCGCGTCGAGGTTAGCGCGATTGCGACGCGGGCAGTCGCGTTCGCCCCCAGGTGCCACACAATGACGCTTACTCCTGCAAAATCACTTTACTTTTTCGCTCACTACATCCAACAGTTGAGCGACGGAGGCGCTGAATATCGCTGCATATTGCTGCGCGCTGGCGCGTATCTTTTGAGAGCTCTTTATCACACGCCGGCCAGTACGGCATACCTGCGCATGCCGCGAAGCCATGGCATGAAGCTTCCATCTACACTACGAATACATCACTGACTTTCACAACTTGTCCTGTAGCCATCGACTTGTTACCGCAGATGCCCGTCAAAATTGAGAGTGCACCGTCGACATGGCTTGCAGCTCTCATATCCTGATCGATTTCCGCACCTTGCTCGCCAAACAAGTCAGCTAGCAACACCTCATCGCCTCCCCCATGCGCACCGACGGAATCCGGAATCTGGATATCTTGCGGCTTCTCGAAAAGCTTCCTGAGTGTGATTGATCGCGTTTCAAGTGATCCCTCGAGCGACTGGTCTCCCCCGCTGTTCACGTAGCTGTTCTCGACTACTTCCATCTCTACACGGCCGCCAGTCCCGTTGAACGAGACACGGAAACCTTCCCAGGGTGCGTAGGCGGTCAGAGAATAGGTCAGCACCGCGCCATTCTCGTATCGCACTAGGAGGTTCATTGTGTCTTCTATACTTATTCCGTCACCGAAGACGCTCTGATCGCGATAGTATGCGTCTTCATGCTCGGCATCGAGGTACATCTTCTTCAACTTGTCATTGTTTTCAAGGTGAAGTGCAAATGGATCGCTCTTTGCCACTTCGCTGCCATGAGCTCGTGTGTAAAACTCCTGTACACCTCTCTTTTCGGCATTTTCTCGCCCGTAGAAGTTCAGGTTGCCCTGTGCGTACACTGTTTCCGGACGCGAAGCTAGCCAGAAGTTGACGAGGTCGAAATGATGTGTTGATTTATGGACGAGCAGCCCCCCGCTGTTGCGCTTGTCGCGATGCCAGCGACGGAAGTAGTCGGCGCCGTGCGACGTGTTGAGCATCCATTCGAAATGTATGCTCGTCACTTTCCCGATCGCGCCAGAGCGGAGAAGCTCCCACACTTTGGTGTTGTGTGGTGCATAGCGGTAGTTGAACGTAACGCGCACTTTCTTGCCCGTTCGTTCTACTGCGTTGAAAATCTCGCGACACCGTGGTGCATCGATGGTCATAGGCTTCTCTGTCACGACATTACAGCCCAGTTCTAACGCGCGGACGATATAGATGTTGTGTGTACGATCGATTGTTGTTACGATGACTTCATCTGGCTTGGTTTCCCGGATCATCCGATCGAAATCCGCCGCTTTGAAGGTGGGAACCTTGACATGACCAAGAGACTCCAGCTGTGTATTCGCAAAGTCAAGTCGGGTTTGGTTCGTATCGCATAGCGCTACGACAACCGAGGTTTCTTTGTAGGTTGTTGCGATCGCGGTGTAGAAGAAGGACGAACGGCCGCCTGTGCCAATCAGCGCATATCTCTTTTGCTTGTTTTCCCCAGCCATATTCGCTAACAAATAATACAAGAGTAGAAGTTGAATCAGAAATAAGACGATCAAAGGCTTCGCTCTCTAGCCGTTTCTTAACAGCTTTGGAAATATTCTATGATGATGCATCGGTGTATCGCTACCCCGGTCACACCCCTCGATATTCGGTACAGTCAATCCCGAACGCTGAACCACATCATGTTACGACGTCGATCTTGCATTCTCCCGTCACTATAGCCGACCGGTGAACCAATGTTTAGAAGAGAGGCCCCACAGCATCCACCCCCGTGGGGAAAGTGAAGCAGAGACGATCATGGCCAGGAATAGAGTTTACCGCGTGAGCTCTGCGGGGAAGCTCACTCCTTGCCTAAAGCTCATGGAAACCCGGTATCTTTGCGAGTGAAGAGGGAATCGCAAGTCCTGATACGTGGAACAACAGAGCTATGAGGGGCTTCTAGCACAAGCAGGAAGCTCGAAATGCACATGGCCATCCAGGGCGTCGCTCAATCGATACCTGGATGCGACCGGGATTGGGAGACGCAACCAGTCGGTCTCTGGTATCCGAGCATGGGCTTTTGTCTGATAAGTAGACGAGCCGGTCACTTGGTAAGTCATTCGGAGAGCAACCAAGCGTCTTACAGTCTTCGTTCTGCGGCAGCATGGCGACCATGCATTCTGGAGCCCACAAAGAAGATGCCATAACACATATCGAGCACTCTAATCCTACGCCTGCACAGAAAGTCGAGAAGGCAGATGCGGCGGCCAAGTTTCTGGCCAACGCTCATGTTGATGATGCATCATTCTCATATGAAGAAGAGCGCGCTGTTCTCAAGCGCGTAGACTATCGCGTCCTCCCTCTTCTGCTGTAAGTGGTTTTTGATCAGCTGCGAATGAAACATGGACTGACTTTTTGTGTCTACGAATAGAGGAGCCTACTTCTTCCAGCAGCTCGACAAATCCTCCCTGTCTTACGTCTCCATCTTCGGTCTGCAAGCCGACGCCAAACTAGTAGGACGTCAATACTCATGGCTCGGCTCTATTTTATACTTGGCCCAGCTAGTCATGCAGCCTCTCGCAGCCTTCCTTCTGGTCAAATTGCCGACGGGAAAAGTTATCGGCACAGCCATCTTCCTCTGGGGTAGCAGTCTAGCTATCATGGCCGCCTGTACCGATTTCAAAAGCCTTCTTGGTCTGCGGTTCGTATTGGGATCTTTCGAGGTAAGTTGCGGCTGTACGGAATGCATGTGGATCGCATGCTAACTTCGTATCTTCGTTCTTGTAGGCCATGATCGCACCGGCTTGTGTCGCAACTACAACGATGTGGTGGCGCCGGTCCGAACAGACCCTTCGGACTGGATACTGGAACGCTATGAATGGAGTCACCTTCATTGTTGGCTCATTATTCACCTACGGCCTCGGACACATCAACAGCGAGTCGCTACACAAGTACCAGGTCATCTTCATGTTCTGCGGTCTACTGACTGTGGTGTATGCATTTGTCGTCCTCGTCCTAATGCCGGATAGCCCGATGAAAGCCAGATACTTGACCGAGCGAGAAAGGTTCATCGCAGTCGAGCGTCTGCGGGCTAACCAAATGGGCATCCAGTCAGGAGAATGGAAGTGGGATCAGGTCTGGGAGACTTTGATTGACCTCAAGACCTGGTGTTGGTTCATTGCCATCATCGCGATATCGTGAGTAATGGACCTCTTTATCTCAATCTTGTTACTGATGTTCGTTCCGTGCATAGCATAGCAAGTGGCGGTATTTCCACCTTTGGCAACCTCATCATCCGCGACTTCGGCTACACCAACTTCCAATCTATCCTGTTCAACATACCCTTCGGTGTCATTCAGATTGTCTGCATCCTGGGTTCTTCCTGGGGTGCAACGCGCTGGAGCCGCAAAGGTCTTGCCATCGCCCTCGTTGCCATCCTTCCCATAATCGGCACGATAATGATGTTGACCGTGCCGCGCCAGCACAAAGGCGTTTTACTCTTTGGCTACTACCTTGTATCATGCCTCGCCGCTATTACACCTTTGATATACACTTGGCATGTTCAAAACACCGCCGGTGACACGAAGAAGAAGTGCACGTCGGCTATGGTGTTCATTGGGATGTGTACCGGTAAGTAATATCCGTTCACGGCCTGATGGGAGACGACACTAACTGCGTACAATAGGCAACGTTATCGGCCCGCTGCTATATTCGGTTGACGACGCGCCTCTTTACCGGCCTGGCCTGATCGCCAACTTGGTCATGTTCGCACTCGTAGCTATCATCGCGCTCTTGATTCCCGTCTACCTAGCACTGTTGAACAAGAGGCACGCGAAGCGCAGAGAAGAATTGGGCAAGAGCGCAGTCAGGGTTGACGAAAGTATGCTGAAGAAGAAAGAAATGACACAAAAGGGTGTGGAGATGGAGGCGCAAGATCAGAGACAGGAGCACGATAACGGCTTTTCTGACCTGACGGACATGAAAAACGAAGACTTCATTTACGTGTACTAGGACTGGGGAAGGTGGAAAGCGCAAACCACATTGCTGCTACACGTGGGTGGCCAGCACCTACAGGATAGCTGACAACAAAGTTGAAACTACATGTGTACTTTACGCACCATCACCCCCCGCGCAGCTTAGTGGCCGTCCGAGTGAACGTAGCCAATTCCGATGTTAAGGTTGTGATGAGACCATGCCTGCGAACAACCTCGGAGTTTGCCGTGACAGTGCCGAGCGCCGCTTTAGGGGACATCGGCATCCACAGACGAAGATTACATAAGCCATCCCGGTCTTGGGATCCACTACGGGGTCTGCCTTGGCCCCGTGCAGGACGCCACGCATTAGGCCACCGATGTTGCACCAACTTCCTGGGCCCATCTCTTGTGCGTTCCCGCTCGTCTCGCGACGATCCGATCGCCAACACTTAGAGTTGAACTCCGGTCCCCTCAGCTGAAGTTGCTGCACCAGCTAAACTACGCCGGCCATCGATCTAGCGACAGGAAACCCTTTCCCGGAATGTGCAGCGACGTCTTCCCTGGCACATCTAATGAAGGAATGACCCGCGACGGAAACTCCCTGTAACGTACAACGCAGAACCCCTGTATCGTACAATGCCTTGACATCAGCGAGATCTTGGTGTTTCTTACTCCACGCATTAGTTGAGCTTGTTTGATTAGTAACCTAAGGTCCTTCGAAACTGGCGAACACGGGGCCGCGTCAGAACTCGCCGGTTGCGCATCCGCTCTGCACACAGCTTATCACATCGCGCATCAGGTGCGAGTCATACCAACCTCGTCAAGCGTAGAAAGCGAGCCGAATCGATTTCCTGAATAAGAAGCCCCGTTGCAATGAGTGCATGGCCACAAGTGCGCTGATCCGCTAAATGAATATGCAGGTTTCCATTCTCGTCAAGAACGAATAGACGACATCGGTCACCTCCGCTATTGGATATATATTACGCTTTCGAAACTGGCACGTGCGACACACATTTAGCAGTAATTTCCATCCGACTAAGCTTTCCCCAGTTCTCATCCTGGAACAGCTGTGGCGCAGCAAGTCGTCTTCTTTCACTTCCCTAAAGAGCTTGCAAACATTGCACGGGAACCCCTCGACGCGCATAAACACTAGGTTTACCCTGGATCTAGACTAGGACCTGCCGTTTCGTAGAAGCAGGTTTCATCATTAAGCGACGTTTTTTCCAACTTGTCGACAGTTCCCTAGAATACCCAACCGAGAATCACGATCCCAAGTTGTATAGAGGTTGCATTGAGACACGCAAAGACAGCGCTGCTTTTACGTGGTCCTCACATGCTTTGATTTGTCGCGCAATTTCAGCATTGCGAAGTGCTGTGTCACTTAAATGCCGACAATCACTTGGAAAACATCAAGAGTGATGTAAACTAATAGCTTCTAGCAAATCGATCGCGGGTATAGCGGTGGACAGCGAAAAAGGGCTTTTCCGTTGCCAGTTCTGCTATTACCGGATAACGGCAAGCCACTGCATCCAGTTGGAAGGAAACCTGGGGTGCATCTGGTCGGTCATTGGACAATGGTCGAGTCCCAATTGGCGGGATCTCAGCATAACTGGCCTATCCGTGCTGTCACAACGGTAGAAACCTCTCCGCTCGAAGGGCGCTAGCCCACTAGGTTGGACTATACAGGCAGCTCGCCCACAGTGGCTGTGTGGCCTAGCTCCGCTCTACGTTTCAAAACGCCGCTTTCCGTACTCAAAATGCTTGAAGTCAACATGAGAACCATACCCGGAGCTTGTAAAGCTTGGTCACATTAGTCGCTCGGTCCGACGCTGGCAAGTGCCGCAAAGCGAATCAAATCATGCCTCTCTACGCGGATATTGAGTGCTAAAGGAACTTAGGATATGCGAAGGCAAGCCTTAGTACTACAGTCGTTCCACGAGTGAACAGGTTGTCACAAAAGTGCACGTTGTCACTGAGATCGGAGATGGAAATCAGCATGAGGAGTTTGCGCTCTAGGTACGGCCGTGGCAGCACGTTCCGCCTCTCTCTGTTCATGCTCGGTGGATTATTGGGCACTGACAACAGATTTGTGTGGCCCTCGGCCTATCACTCACCGCAGTATGGGTCCAGGATGTGCAACTTCTGCATGCTACCCACGACCCTTCTCCTGAAACTCGTATCTCTGAGATCAACACTTCATCTTACAATGACCCTGTCAGCTATAGGGCGCATTTGTCAAGATGATTCGGTGCTATAGTATGTGCGAGACTAGCGTTGGGGCGGTGTCTCTAGGACTACTCGGTGCTCAGAGTAACTTTGACACAGGGGCGCTTACTCAAAGCAGAGGGTGGAAGGTCGACCTATCTCTCATGCATAAGGACTTTGTTCCTGCTCAGTGAAGCTAGCATTTCGACAGCATGAACAAGATGTTCCTCCGCCAGATTCTCATCCGAATCGCCATCGCCGCCGCGTTGTTGAAGATCTTCAGTATCTTCAGGCGCCAACATGCCTTCCAAGCCTACATCGAGCGCCGCAAGATCACCTTCGATGACTTCCCTGAGTCTTACGCTAAGGCTCTGAACGATTCCGTAGCGCGCAACGAGCAACCTCTGGAGTCCGACTATGTCTCTACCTACACCGGATCGAAGATCCCGCGCACGATACACTACATATGGTTTGAGAGGATATATCCAAACCATGAAGGCTCTAGCGGAGGCCCATCTATTGGATTTGGGTCGCCAAAACTCTGTCGCGAGCACAACCCCAGTTACGAAATCCGCATGTGGAATGCAACGAGCGCTCGCGAGTTCCTGTCCAACGAGTACGCTTGGTTTCTACCGACATACGATGGTTACAGATATCCTGTCAGTACTCTCCATGTATAAGCTGCGACTGGAACATATGCTGACTTTGCCCACCCTTGCTCAGATCCAAAAGGTCGACGCCTTGAAGTACTTCGCCCTCTACCACTTCGGTGGCGTCTACATGGACCTAGACGTCGCGTGCCGACGCTCACTAGACCCCTTGTTGGACTTCCCAGCCTGGTTCCCAGAAGCATCGCCACTGGGCGTCAACAACGACTTGATGGCATCAGCGGCGAAGCACGCGGTCGTGAAGAAGATGACAGAAGGCCTTGTCACACATAACTGGAATCTACTTTTCCCGTACCTCACAATCTTCTGGACAACTGGACCGCAATTTACGAGCACAATCTTACAGGAATGGTTCGAGGAGTGTCCTGATGGGCAGTGTAAACAGTGGAAGGCACGGAATGATCTTGGTAAGCCAGCTCATTCTGTCTTACGAGCGAGAAGAGTCTCAGTAGCTAACCTATCCTGCACAGACCCCACCTCCTTCCTCGTTCTACCGCGAATCTTCTACTCGGAAGAGTACACCTTCTTCGGCCATAAACCCGGCGGTTCATGGCATGGCTCGGATGTCGCTGTGGTGTTGTGGTTTGTTGACCGCCCATGGGCAATAGCAAGTGTTGCTGCGGCCTTGATTGGAATAGTCGGTGGTATTGCTAGAGTGAGGAGGACAAGGGCTCGCCAGAGAGTGAAGGTCCATAGCCAATTTGTTTAGAAGAAATGAGCTTTGCAAATACCATCTGTTGTCCATGAAACACCAGCTTCTGGCCTAAGTTCATGATTAGCTGGGGATTGTTCTCCACGTGCTGTGAAGTCACGGAGAGCTGTGTCGTGCAAAAGCTTCGTCTGAATCACCAACGCAACGCGGAGAGCAAGCTTGACCGAGTTTTTTTAAAGCATCATGACCCCCACCATACATTCATCGAGAAGTGCAGTGCAAGATGGAAGTTAAATCTGCTATGTTGGCAGTTGCTTCACTCGTAATCTTCTTTACTTAATGTTCTTGCCTTTCTAGGCATTTCATTATACACAGTTTATCTATGCTCTCACCCTCAGTCCAATCCACAATTTCCCTGCCAGATGCGAAATGATACGCTTTGTATCGACCATGTACCACCCAAACAGTATGCTTTCACTCCAAAAAGACGATTTTGCTCGATCTTGGAGCCCCAACACCGAGGTGATGCCATTACAAAGAGAATGTGTAGGAATAGTCGTAGTAGTACAGAAGCCAACGACGCCCGCTAACCCGAATAGAATGGAAATGGCCAGAAAATGAGAAATTGCTGCTGTGTTGTATAGACGCTGACGTATGATGCTTCGACGAAGACATGTTTACTGTGACAGCCGGCTGCCAATCATGGTGCTGAAGCTGTCGCCCGCCGGTCGTGGCTCCTTGCCAGCTCCAAGATAAAACTCGCAGCGGAATTTTAGGCACTCGATTCCGCGGACATCGTGGTACACCTGTATGATGTCACCAGTGTGTAAATGTCCGTAGATTACACGCCCCTTGTCGTCCTTTTGCTTCAAGTGTTTGCCGTTTATGGAGATACCATGTGTGGCGCAAGTCCAGATACCAACGTTCAAATTCTCCAAGCTGGTCCAATCTTTGCCCTGTTGTGACAGGTCATCCACTGTCTCTTGGGTCTGGCCACCTGACGAGTAGAAAAACACTATGAAAGCTGTTTTAGGAACGCGAGTATCTGATTTGTGTTCGTACACAATCGTATTATTGCTCAAGCGGCCCCAAGAAGTCTTACTCTGATCGATGTTGAGAGTAAGGTTGGGTGCGAAGGAGTCGGGGGTTGCGATGAGCTTGCCCAGTCGCCGGGGTGGTGGACGGATATCAAGCTCCGCTGGAACAGAAGGGATTGCTGCCGCCGGAGATGGTGCTCTCGCAATGCTTGATCTTGTCGACTGCGCACTTGCGTCCGAAGCTGCTGTTGTGTCCGGATATGCAGATGTTTCGGTGTTTGAATTGCGGCCATTAGACACGAAGTCAAACCCACTCACTCTGGAAGCGTACTCCAGATTATGCGTGTTCGGGTCCATCGGATCGTAATAATAGGAAGCAGTCAAAGGAAGATTTATCTGGCGATTGATAGGTCGTGCTCTCGGAGTTGGCTCACTAATCTGACTGAAGTCCTTGGACGACTGTTCCAAAGAATTGTGTTGAACAACCTCCGGGGTCCTGGGGGTCGCAGGCATGACCGGGCTCTGTGTCCTGGATACGGGTGAGTGCGGCGAGGTCATGTTGAGATCTCGTACCAAAGACTCGGTACCAAGAAGGCTAGGCGAGGAAAAGCCGCGCTCTAGTTGGGCGGGCGCAGTGAAAGGACCCTGAAACTCCGACTGACCAGCGGTGTAACTCGTTTCGCCTGCTCCATCATTTTGGGCAAGGCGGACAGACTCATCTTGCGACAGGGCGTCATGGGCATGAGCGCTCAAGACACCGGAACTCTGCAAAGCTGACTGGCCAATTTCACCGAACAGACGAGGTTGCCTAGGTGTTGGGGCCATTTGAAAGCTCTCCTCGTTTACAAGGTGTGAGGAAGTAAATGACGGCTCAACGCTTGAGTCGCCACGATCACGTACCTGGTTGCGCGGGTACAGGGGATCGGCGCGAACTCGCTTTGGCTGACGCTCGTTGACAAAGCCCATGAGCTCTTCATCGGACAGAATGCCTCCGTCTTCATCTGACTCCGGGATCTCCTCCCCCTGGAGACTGAGCTGGGACAGCTGCTGCTCGGCCTCCTCAGGCTCGTCTTCTTCCGCAATGGACTGAAGAGTCGGGTCGGCGAGAAGTTCCGCGCCATCCTTAAGCCAAGGATGGTTGAGACAGTCGCGATCGGTTGGACGCTCTGCAGGGTCGGTTCGCAGCATACCAGTAAGAAGATCGATACAAGCAGGGGACACACCAGCCTTGCGTAGCGGTGTCGGGTCGAGGGGCGTTTTCATGATATTGTTGAACATGGCTTCGCCGGTAGCATCAGCGATACCCCTGAACGGAGGTTCGCCGCATAGCGCATACCATAGGACACCACCAAAGGACCATATGTCCACAGAGGAGCTATACGAGTGGTACGTCTTGGCACCACGTCGACGTTTGGTTCCCTTTGATTGACCGTTGAAGTCGGGGAACACTTCTGGGGCGCAGTACAACAGAGTTCCGCAGAAAGTCTTGAGGAAGGTCTCTTCGTGCTTGACAACTTTTGAAAGTCCGAAATCGGACAGCTTGACCGTGAAGGGATCCAGATCGGAGATGAGAATGTTGTCGGGCTTGATGTCGCGATGTGTGATCTTGGCTCGGTGCAGATAACTAAGCGCGCTTAGGATCTGCTGAGCCATTGACCTCGCAACATCCTCCTCCATGGAGCCATGATTGTTAAGATAGCCTTGTAGATCTCCTTGCCGCACGAACTCCATGATGATGTAGAGATAATCGCCCTGGTCGTGATACTCTGTGAACTGGACGATGTTTGGGTGGCGCAGGTCTTGCATAATTTTCATCTCGTTGTCGATCTTTTTGTCTAGCATTCCGTTTTTCATGAATCGGCGCTTTTCCAGCTCTTTAGCTGCAAGAAGTTTTCCAGTCATCTTTTCAGCGAGTTGATAAACGGTCGCAAAGGCGCCCTTACCGATCTGCCCTGGGAAGAGTTAGCAGCTATTGGTTGTGTTATTGCAGCGTCACGTACCGACGATGTTATAGGTATCACCTCCATCCCACTTCATCGCTGGGCCGCCATATTGCTTGGTGATTCGCTGAATAACCTTGCCCTGTGCGTCCCCAGCGTCTGGAGTGCACTCCGTGATGAAGTTGCGCAGGTTGTCGCGGAAGCGGTCCATGTAATTGACTCTAGACGGTACCCGGACGATGAATTTGATCATCTCTGCATCGTTGGAGTTCTGGATACAGATGATCGATCCCGAGCTCAGCATCCGCATCTTACTAAAGCGTGGATCCTTGCACTTCAGGAGCGCGTCGTCGACTATGGTGCCATTGGTGGACATGTCATCGAGCATGAGAAGACCATCTGCATTCAGATATATACGGAAGTGTTGGTTGCTTATCCTCTTGCCGGAGTCCTGGCCAAAGATAACATCGGCGCTCTGGTGATTGCGTCCAAATATAAATCCGAGCGGCTTGAACTTCAACCTCTTTGCGGATGACATGCGTAGAGCCAGATCTGCACCAGCCCGCGAGCTGGTACCTTGTCGTCCCTCCGGAGCGTTGATGATGAATGTCTCCTGCTCCTCAACGTCGGTGATGGAACTACTCATGGAATCGAGTGAATTGCGGAAGAGCACATGCTCGGGTCGATCTTGCGCTGTCTGCTCGACAATCCGAATGGCTGTAGGAGTAGCTGGGTGGAGAATGACCAAGACATCGGCAATATCACCGTCATTGAGACCCGAGTTGTTCCTGCCTAGTCGACGTGGATCCAGGACCTGCTGAGTTGCAGGCTGTGTCTGCTGAGACGGGTCGGCCTCCATGATGGGTAGCAGACTAACGTTCCGAAGCTTATCGTGCGGCGCTTTGTTGGGAGTGACCCAGGACCAGACGAACGGCGCGCCCGTAGGAGTTGAGAGGGAGGCGACTGAGGATATCGAGCGAGTGACTGGTAGGCAGGTCTCGTGGTTTTATACGCGGCAATTGCGGGGATTCTTTGTACGTGCGATATCGGTCTAGCGCGAGCTGGTGGTAGTTGCGCTTCTAGTAGAGTGAGCGATACCTAGGTAACGTAGGTACGCTGTTGGGCCGTGCGTTTAATGGATGGAAATGGTCGCGTTGAGAGCGTTCTGGTTGGACCTCGGCACAGGTAACAGGTACTCTGGAATGAGCTCGACTCAGAATCTCTGCTACGTACTCCAACTTAATGGGACGTGTCGATGTCTCTTCAACAGTACGAGCAGCTGCGACTCGCGGTTGAACGTTTCTTGAGAGTGCAACTGGGTGGGACCAGTCCTTCGTTGTCCTGCCTGAAACAGACGTTGCTAGAAACGGGCTTGATAAACAGCGCTTCTTTACTTGTGTGGCCCCTGTGCTTTCTTTTTCCAGGCCTCAGTCTCCGACACCTTTCAACTTGTATGGGATGGAACGATGGCAAAAGCGAGTCGGCTCGAACGGTAATGCGGTATATATTACAGCGACGCTGTCGCGGAAAGCGCGGGATGTAGATGTAGTGAGCGCGGTGAGGCGGATGTTTGCCTTGATGGCATGCGCGTACGGGTATGGAGGATGAGACGATGCGAAGGGTTGCCCTAGAAACAGGCTCTACGGCAATCTGTCAGCATGAAGACGTCCAGATACACCACGGCTACGCGATTGCAATTGGGGCGAAGACAGACCTTGCTAGCAGAACCACGCAGACACCGAACACGAACGTCGGAAGTGAAAGGAAGCAGACCCTCGAGGCGACGCGAGTTGTGAGACTTTGGGTGGCCCGCGCTCACCCCGCTATTGGCTGGACGCCTCCAAGTGGGCCCTGACGGCACCTCCTCCCTCGTGCATCCAAGGCAGCACTCCGTTCAAGGGATAGATGCAATACCTCCGTGACGTTTGCGACGCTGCACTACACGAGAAGAAGCTCTGAAGTATCATCTGTATAGATGAGACTGCTTCTGAAATGATTGGAAGTCTTTACACGGGTGCTGTTGAGATGCTGTGAGGCGGCAGCCTCAAGATCACGTGCTTACGCGAT